ACATAATAATTTTAAATTTGCTTATAGCCACTTTTTTTTTTTTTTTTGAGACGGAGTTTTGCTCTTGTTGCCCAGGCTGGAGTGCAATGGCACAATCTCGGCTCACTGCAGCCTCCGCCTCCCGGGTTCAAGCAATTCTCCTGCCTCAGTCTCCTGAGTAGCTGGGATTACAGGCATGTGCCACCACGCCAGGCTAATTTTTGTATTTTTAGTAGAGATGGGTTTCTCCATGTCGGTCAGGCTGGTCGCGAACTCCCGACCTCAGGTGATCCATTCACTTCGGTCTCCCAAAGTGCTGGGATTACAGGCATGAGCCACCACACTGAGTTGACAACCACATTTTTAAAAAGAAAAAAAAAAAAAAAAGCTGCAATTAATTGTAATATTTTATTTAACCCAGTATACTCAAAATGTTAACATTTCAATATGTGATTAATTTAAAAAGTTATTGAAATAATTTATTCTTTTCGTTGTACTAAATCTTTGAAATCTGGTGCATAGTTTACAGTACAGCACATCTCATCCCAATGCTCAGTTTTGACAAGCATGAAATGTAGCTCTAACTAAAAAGTTGTGTTTAAGGGGAAAAATATTTTTATATTGCTTCAGTTTTACATTTTACATTTCAATTAATTAAAATTAAATTTGAAAATTCAGTTTCTAGGTCGCACTAAACACATTTCACGTACTCAGTAGCCACATATGACCACTGGCTACCTGTATGGAAGGTACAAAACCCAACGGCTATTTACTTCCCAGGAAAGGAAGCAGCAAGCTATGACAGCAGTGTCCAAGACAGCTCCTGCTGGGTTCCCGCAGCAGGAACTCACCTGCTGCACTCGGTGCACAGTGGGGCAGCAAAGTTAACACGGGTTGGAGAGGCAGGCAAGGGCCAAATCTCAAAGGCCAAAAGAAAGTTCATGTTTCCTTTTAAGTTAAAAGAGAGACCACTTAGACTGGGCACGGTGGCTCACGCCTGTAATGTAATCCCAGCACTTTGGGAGGCCAAGGCGGGCGGATCACCTGAAGTCAGGAGTTCGAGACCACCCTGGCCAACATGGTGAAGCCCCGTCTCTACTAAAAATACAAATATTAGCCGGGCGTAGTGGTGCATACCTATAATCCCAGGTACTCAGGAGGCTGAGGCAGGAGAATCACTTGAACCCAGGAGGCGGAGGTTGTGGTAAGCCAAGATTGCACCATTGTACTCCAGCCTGGATGACAAGAATGAAACTGGCTCTCAAAAAAACAAAGGCTACTCAGGAGGCTGAGGCAGGAGAATGCCGTGAACCCGGGAGGTGGAGCTTGCAGTGAGCCGAGATGGCGCCACTGTACTCCAGCCTGGGCGACAGAGCAAGACTCCCTCTCAAAAAAAGAAAAAAAAAATTAGCAAAGAACTGTGATGTGAGCTACATAATAATTTTAAATTTGCTTATAGCCACTTTTTTTTTTTTTTTTTTTTTTGAGACGGAGTTTTGCTCTTGTTGCCCAGGCTGGAGTGCAATGGCACAATCTCGGCTCACTGCAGCCTCCGCCTCCCGGGTTCAAGCAATTCTCCTGCCTCAGTCTCCCGAGTAGCTGGGATTACAGGCATGTGCCACCACACCAGGCTAATTTTTGTATTTTTAGTAGAGATGGGTTTCTCCATGTCGGTCAGAATGGTCCCGAACTCCCGACCTCAGGTGATCCATTCGCTTCGGTCTCCCAAAGTGCTGGGATTACAGGCATGAGCCACCACACCGAGTTGACAACCACATTTTTAAAAAGAAAAGGCGGGGCGCGGTGGCTCAAGCCTGTAATCCCAGCAGTTTGGGAGGCCGAGACGGGCGGATCACGAGGTCAGGAGATCAAGACCATCCTGGCTAACACGGTGAAACCCCGTCTCTACTAAAAAATACAAAAAAAAAACTAGTCGGGTGAGGTGGCGGGCGCCTGTAGTCCCAGCTATTCGGGAGGCTGAGGCAGGAGAATGGCGTGAACCCGGGAGGCGGAGCTTGCAGTGAGCTGAGATCCGGCCACTGCACTCCAGCCCGGGCGACAGAGCCAGACTCCATCTCAAAAAAAAAAAAATAAAAAAAATAAAAAAAAATAAAAAAAGAAAAAGAAAAAGAAAAAAAAAACAGCTGCAATTAATTGTAATATTTTATTTAACCCAGTATACTCAAAATGTTAACATTTCAATATGTGATTAATTTAAAAAGTTATTGAAATAATTTATTCTTTTCATTGTGCTAAATCTTTGAAATCTGGTGCATAGTTTACAGTACAGCACATCTCATCCCAGTGCTCAGTTTTGACAAACATGAAATTTAGTTCTAACTAAAAAGTTGTGTTTAAGGGGAAAAATATTTTTATATTGCTTCAGTTTTACATTTTACATTTCAATTAATTAAAATTAAATTTGAAAATTCAGTTTCTAGGTCGCACTAAACACATTTCACGTACTCAGTAGCCACATATGACCACTGGCTACCTGTATGGAAGGTACAAAACCCAACGGCTATTTACTTCCCAGGAAAGGAAGCAGCAAGCTATGACAGCAGTGTCCAAGACAGCTCCTGCTGGGTTCCCGCAGCAGGAACTCACCTGCTGCACTCGGTGCACAGTGGGGCAGCAAAGTTAACACGGGTTGGAGAGGCAGGCAAGGGCCAAATCTCAAAGGCCAAAAGAAAGTTCATGTTTCCTTTTAAGTTAAAAGAGAGACCACTTAGACTGGGCACGGTGGCTCACGCCTGTAATGTAATCCCAGCACTTTGGGAGGCCAAGGCGGGCGGATCACCTGAAGTCAGGAGTTCGAGACCACCCTGGCCAACATGGTGAAGCCCCGTCTCTACTAAAAATACAAATATTAGCCGGGCGTAGTGGTGCATACCTATAATCCCAGGTACTCAGGAGGCTGAGGCAGGAGAATCACTTGAACCCAGGAGGCGGAGGTTGTGGTAAGCCAAGATTGCACCATTGTACTCCAGCCTGGATGACAAGAATGAAACTGGCTCTCAAAAAAACAAAGGCTACTCAGGAGGCTGAGGCAGGAGAATGCCGTGAACCCGGGAGGTGGAGCTTGCAGTGAGCCGAGATGGCGCCACTGTACTCCAGCCTGGGCGACAGAGCAAGACTCCCTCTCAAAAAAAGAAAAAAAAAAAATTAGCAAAGAACTGTGATGTGAGCTACATAATAATTTTAAATTTGCTTATAGCCACTTTTTTTTTTTTTTTTTTTTTTGAGACGGAGTTTTGCTCTTGTTGCCCAGGCTGGAGTGCAATGGCACAATCTCGGCTCACTGCAGCCTCCGCCTCCCGGGTTCAAGCAATTCTCCTGCCTCAGTCTCCTGAGTAGCTGGGATTACAGGCATGTGCCACCACGCCAGGCTAATTTTTGTATTTTTAGTAGAGATGGGTTTCTCCATGTCGGTCAGAATGGTCCCGAACTCCCGACCTCAGGTGATCCATTCGCTTCGGTCTCCCAAAGTGCTGGGATTACAGGCATGAGCCACCACACCGAGTTGACAACCACATTTTTAAAAAGAAAAGGCGGGGCGCGGTGGCTCAAGCCTGTAATCCCAGCACTTTGGGAGGCCGAGACGGGCAGATCACGAGGTCAGGAGATCAAGACCATCCTGGCTAACACGGTGAAACCCCGTCTCTACTAAAAAATACAAAAAAAAAACTAGCCGGGTGAGGTGGCGGGCGCCTGTAGTCCCAGCTACTCGGGAGGCTGAGGCAGGAGAATGGCGTGAACCCGGGAGGCGGAGCTTGCAGTGAGCTGAGATCCGGCCACTGCACTCCAGCCCGGGCGACAGAGCCAGACTCCATCTCAAAAAAAAAAAAATAAAAAAAATAAAAAAAAATAAAAAAATAAAAAGAAAAAGGAAAAAAAAAAACAGCTGCAATTAATTGTAATATTTTATTTAACCCAGTATACTCAAAATGTTAACATTTCAATATGTGATTAATTTAAAAAGTTATTGAAATAATTTATTCTTTTCGTTGTGCTAAATCTTTGAAATCTGGTGCATAGTTTACAGTACAGCACATCTCATCCCAGTGCTCAGTTTTGACAAACATGAAATTTAGTTCTAACTAAAAAGTTGTGTTTAAGGGGAAAAATATTTTTATATTGCTTCAGTTTTACATTTTACATTTCAATTAATTAAAATTAAATTTGAAAATTCAGTTTCTAGGTCGCACTAAACACATTTCACGTACTCAGTAGCCACATATGACCACTGGCTACCTGTATGGAAGGTACAAAACCCAACGGCTATTTACTTCCCAGGAAAGGAAGCAGCAAGCTATGACAGCAGTGTCCAAGACAGCTCCTGCTGGGTTCCCGCAGCAGGAACTCACCTGCTGCACTCGGTGCACAGTGGGGCAGCAAAGTTAACACGGGTTGGAGAGGCAGGCAAGGGCCAAATCTCAAAGGCCAAAAGAAAGTTCATGTTTCCTTTTAAGTTAAAAGAGAGACCACTTAGACTGGGCACGGTGGCTCACGCCTGTAATGTAATCCCAGCACTTTGGGAGGCCGAGGCAGGCAGATCCCTTGAGCCCAGGAGTTTGAGACCAACCTGGACAATAAGTGAGACCTGTCTATAAAAAACAGAAAATGAAAATAAAAATAAAATTAGCCAAGCGTGGTGGCGCACACATGTGGTCCCAGCTACTTGGGAGGCTGAAGTGGCAGAATCGCCTGAACCCAGGAACAGTGAGCCCAGATCGCGCCACTGCAGTCCAGCCTGGGTGACAGAGTGAAACTCTGTCTAAAAAAAACAAAACAAAACAAAAAGTAGGGAGAAGAGGGCCAGGGCCAGCCAAGAGCCAGGTCAGTCTGGATGGGGATGGAGGTGAAGGAATCAGACTGGGGGAGCGGGCGGTGGGCGGTGGGCAATCGGGCGGGGAAACCTCTGGTCCGGGACCTCCCTAGCCCGAGGAGCTCCCAGGCACAGGTGAGGACGCGAGGGGCTGGCGTGGCCGGCTCATAAAGCCCCGGCGTTTCCCACGCAGAAGGAGGCTTCGATGAAGAAAGTGGCGCGGCCCCGGACCCCCCTCTCTGCGCCCTGCGTGGCCACCCGCGACAGCTGCAAGCCGCCTGCACCTGCCTGTTGCGACCCGTGCGCCTCCTGCCAGTGCCGCTTCTTCCGCAGTGCCTGTTCCTGCCGCGTGCTCAGCCTCAACTGCTGAGCGCGCCCTCTCCCGGCCGCGGGCGGGCAGGGCTTTGGGGACGCGGGGCGCTTTTCGGGCGGGTGATCTCTAACAGGGCGGCTTCCCAGGACTGGGGGCGGGCGGAGGTTGCAGGAGGTGGGAGTTCAGAGAGACCTGGCTTGGGCTAAACTCGAAATACAATATATATAGGCTGCTCGAAGGTGTGCTGCTGTTTCTGTAAAGGTCCCGAAAGTTTTCGATGCCTTCGCCACAGAGTCAAGCGGACTGCGCACGCGCTGCTCTCCAGGGGCTCAGGACACCCGGGCGCCCCAGCCCCAAAGCTGCACTCCCAGTCAACGCTGCTCCCGCCCTGGGGGTTGGGAACGAGGCTACCGCCCCTACCATTAAACCGGGGAACACCCGAGGCTGCCTCCAAAACCAGGGAATTCAGACCAGCCAGGCAGAAAGGAACCGCCTTTAGGTCTTAACACATTTCCTCCTAGGTGCTCCCCTCTCCCCAGGGGAAGAAACGGAAAGAAAGAAAGGCCACGCCTGTATTCCCAGCACTTTGGGAGGCCGAGGCGGGCGGATCACCTGAGGTCTGGAGATCGAGACCATCCTGACCAACATGGGGAAACCCGTCTCTACTAAAAATACAAAATTAGCCGAGTGTAGTGGCGCATGCCTTAAAGCTCAGCTATTCGAGAGGTTGAGGCAGGAGAATCGCTTGAACCCGGGAAGCAGAGGCTGCAGTGAGCCAAGATCAGGCCATTGCACTCCAGCCTGGGCAACAAGAGCGGAACTCTGTCTAAAAAGAAAGAAAGAAAGCCGAGGCTGGAGGATCACTTGAGGCCAGAAGTTCAAGACCAGCCTGGGCAACATAGTGAGACTCCCTGCCACGCCACTCGTATGTACAAAAAATTTTAAAAATTAACTGGGTGTGGTGGCATGCGCCAGTAGTCCCACCTACTCAGGCAGCTAAGACAGGAGAATCACCTGAGCCCTGGAGTTGGAGACTGCAGTGAGCTATGATCACACCACTGCACTCCAGACTTGGCAACAGAGTGAAACCGTGTGTTTGAGAGAGAGAGAGAAAAAAAGGAAATAATCATTCCCATTCTTGTTATAAATCCAAGATATTAAGTGTCGTGTTCCCTCTCTGTTCCTTAACACAAGAAACAAACACACAACACCCCCACACACAGGAAAGCTGCCAGATGCTTGTTTTGTTTTCTATCATTTAGGCTGCAGTCCTACAGGGCAAGAACCTTTTGTTCCTTGCACCACAGCTGCTGCTGAGTAAATGTCATATTGGGAAGATATTGCAGTCACTCCTCCTGTTTTCCAGACATTGTTCACTAAGCAAGCAGGCACCATTTGGTCCCCAAGGGTGAGGCCAGGATGCAAAGCTAAAGACTCAGTCCCTTAGTAACAAAGCCATTTGGCTGCTGGGTCCAGAAAACCACATAGAAGACCAACCCATTCATTCATTCAGCAAATGTGTATTGGGCACCTACTGTGTGCCAAGTGCTATGGACATAGTGGTGAAGAAGTCCAATATGGATCCTCTCCTTATGGTCCGGTGGCCCATGGCTATTGTCCCTTGTTAGAGGTTAGAACCATTATTAGCATATGTGGTCCATTCCCTCAGACTATCAGTTTTGGTTTTTCTTTAGAGATGGGGTCTTGCTATGTTGCCCAAGCTGGTCTCAAACTCCTGGCCTCAAGCAATCCTCCTGCCTCAACCTCCCAGAGTGCTGGGATTACAGACATGAGCCACTGTGCCCAGCCGGTTTTTGCTTTTTTTGTTTGTTTTGAGACAGAGTCTCGCTCTGTCACTCAGGTGGGAGTGCAGTGGTGCAATCTTGTCTCACTGGAGCCTCCACTTCCCAGGCTCAAGCTATCCTCCAACTTCAGCCTCCCAAGTAGCTAGGACTTCAGGACTCAAGCTGGGACTTCAGAATTCAAGAGATACTCGTGTGTGAGTACCTGGGATTACAGGTGTGCACCACCACAACCGGCTAATTTTTATATTTTTAGTAGAGACAGGGTTTTGCCATTCTTGAACTCTTGGCCTCAAGTGATCCACCCATCTCAGCCTCCCAAAGTGCTGGGATTACAGGTATGAGCCACCACGCCCCACCTCCTTCTCCTTTTCAGAATTCCTCCTCAAGCCCAAAGTGCTAAGAGCATGGTCCTGGGCCTCTCAAAACTCTGCTGGTCTAATGACCAGAATTGAAACTCACATTTGTGACTCAGAGTTACGGTTTGACTGTTAGGAGCATCTGGGACTGCCATCTCCAACACCATTATTCATTCTATTTCTGTCTCACACACACGGGGTGAACTTAACCTAGGAAGATTTACCCTACCTTTGTGGCCATTGATTGAGGATCATTTCTTCCTGAAGGACGTAGCCTTAAACTTGTGCCCAAAGTTCTCATAGTGTAGCCTTGAACAAGTCTTTTTTTTTTTTTTTTTTTTGAGACAGAGTCTTGCTCTGTCACCCAGGCTGTAGTATAGTGGTGCAATCTGGGTTCACCACAGCCTCTGCCTCCCAGATTCAAGTGATTCTCCTGCCTCAGCCTCCCGAGTAGCTGGGATTACAGGCATGTGCCACCACACCGGCTAATTTTTGTATTTTTAGTAGAGACAGGGTTTCACTATGTTGGCCAGGCTGGTCTCAAAATCCTGACCTCAAATGATCTGCCCACCTCAGCTTCCCAAAGTTCTGGGATTACAGGATATGAGCCACGAGCCACCACACCCAGCCTGAACAAGTCACTTTTGATGCTACCATTTCCACATTTACAAAGTGAGAAGTAAATCAGTCAGAGTATTTTAGGTGCAAGCAACAGAAACAACTCTAGCTAGCCTGAGAGAAAAAAAAGGTAGAGGGTTAGTCTACTGGAGAGATTTGGGGACCTCAAAGGAAAGATTACACAACATGCCTCCAGAAAAAAAAAAAAAAAAGCCCCTGAGGGGTGCTAGAGGAGCCAAGTGGACAATGTCTTGCAAGCACGGCAACAGGGATGTCAGCTCCAACCTCTTCAGTCCTTGCACTAGACCATTCAAAATAATTCCCAGGAGAGGCTGATTCACCTGATGTGGGGCCAAGAAAGGGTGGTCCACCTTGACTGACAGTCCCATTGTTCAGGAAAAAATTCTCAAACCATGTTTTCCTCTGCTTTCACACCACCGCAACAGTCATCAACACCCAACAGACTTGTGTGACCCCAAAATATGAGGGGATTTACCCCCACCAGCAAGCAAACAATCAGTTCTGCAGTGGACACCAGCTGGGTGTCCTCCAATTCAATTCCAACACTATCTACTTGGAGATGGCATCAGATCCCACAGTCTGAGGGCTCAGTCCCCAAGACTGCCCTCATTTCAGACACCAGTCAAAAGTCTGAGCCTCTAGAACTTCTGACAACTGGCTTTAAGTTGGGGTTTCCACAACCCTCTTTGGGCTCAACTAATTTGCTGGAGGGGCTCACAGAACGCAGGGAAGCAAGGCCAGGTGCGGTGGCTCACACCTGTAATCCCAGTACTTTGGGAAGCCAAGGTGGGAGGATCGCTTAAGCCCAGGATTTCAAGACTAGCTTGGTCAACAGTGAGACCCCATCTCTATAAAAAATACAATTAGCCAGGCATGGTGGCACAAGCCTCTAGTCCCAGCTACTCAAGAGGCTGAGGCAGGAGGATCACTTGAACCCGGGAGGTCAAGGCTGCAGTGAGTCATGATCATACCACTGCATTCCAGGCTGTGTCTCAAAAAATAAAAAACCAAAAAGAATTCAGGGAAACACACCGGTTTATTATAAAGGCTATTACAAAGGCTGCAGATGAAGAGATGCATAGGGTGAGGTATGGGAAGGGGTACAGAGCTTCTGTGTCCTCCCTGGGCCTGCCACCTTCTAGGAACCCCAGCGTGTCTGGCTATCAGGAAGCTCTCTGAAGCCTGTCCTCTTGGGTTTTTAATGGAGGCTTCATTACGTAGGCATGATTGATTAAACCACTGGCCATTGGTGATCAACTTGACCTTCAGCCCCTCTGTCCTCCCCAGAGGTTGGGGGATGGGGATGAAAGTCCCAACCCCTAATCATGCATTTGCCCTTGTGGTGACCCTTTTTTTTTTTTGGAGGCACGTTGTATAATCTTTCCTATGAGGTCCCCAAATCTCTCCAGGAGACTAACCCTCTACCTTTTTTTTCTCTCAGGCTAGCTAGAGTTGTTTCTGTTGCTTGCACCTAAAATACTCTGACTGATTTACTTCTCACTTTGTAAACGTGGAAATGGTAGCATCAAAAGTGACTTGTTCAGGCTGGGTGTGGTGGCTCATAGCCTGTAATCCCAGAACAGTGATCAAATGATCCACCCGCCTCGGCTTCCCAAAATGCTGGGATAGCAGGCATGAGCCACCACAGCCCAGCCCCTCCATCTTTTTGAGCAACCACAGATCTTAACATCACCACCCATTGTTGAGAAATTACCCCCAGTCATACAATAGGAACTTTAGAAAGAAATTTAACTCCAAGGGCCACTTCCCATTTGTGAAGAGGACAGAATAGGCAAGAAAAGAATGTACTTTGAACTGAATTAGCCAAACCATCTGTAGTCAATTTAAGATGAGTCTAGAGTAGATGTGTTACTCTTTCTTCTTCCATGTACCAAGAGTAGAGGGTGTGTGTGTTGGGAGGGAGGATTGGATTCAGGAAGGAGGAAAAGGAATGACTTTTGTTTAATCAGTAAAATCCTTTAAAATTGCCAAATGCTTTCTGGTTCACTACAGAAATGAGGTTTCTATTAATCGATTGCCTGCAGAGAAACAGTAGCTCTCCCAGCTGGATATATGAGTTGTAAAGTCTGGGAGGTGGCACCTTCTAATGGTAAGAATGATGATGCTGACAATTATTATGCCTTCTTGTTGCCCAGGGAGCCCAGCAAATAGCTTCGTTGGAGTCCAGAGGCTTTTCACACTTTCCAGAGCTCCTCTTTGGAATTTGTGGACTCTTTGGCTGTATAGGCTACCAGAGCAATAGTAAATATTGGGCTGCTGCTCACTGCTCGAGGCCTGTGTGGTCTGCAGTTATCATCATGCCATACTAACAGTGATTATTTATGGAGCAGCTACTTCATGCCAGGCATGACACCAAGACTACCATATTAACATCTTGACCTAAGTATCACTGTAAATAAGAGAACTGGGGTTCAAAG